GTTGTTCTGGAAAGGGAGGGGGAGGGGTGACTTGTCACTGAGAACCACCCAACCTCTGACTGGACCCCAGAGCCAGTCATAGAATGCCAACCCTACACAGCCCCCAAACAAGGGGGGCACAGCTCCTGGGGACATCCAGCGCCACCAACTCCATGAAGTGGGGTCCCCCACCCAGAGTCCTACTAACAGGGAACAGTGCCCCTGCTGTCCCTAGGATTCGGGGAAGCGGAGAGCAGGCTCCCTTCACTCGTGCAGAAGGGCCTGGGTGACGCTGCTGCCGTGGGTGGGGGAGCATGTGCCTCCTGCACAGGTGCGCGGTTCTGAAAGGGCGCGTGCATCCTGTACATACGTGTGCATGCGTTCTGAGTGTGCACGTGCCTTTTGTGCAAGTGTGCGCGTGCATGCTGCCTGTGTGTGTGCATATGTACATCTGTGCATGTGTGTGCATGTGTGCATGTGTGTGCATATGTACATCTGTGCGTGTGTGTGCATATGTACATCTGTGCATGTGTGTGCATATGTACATCTGTGCATGTGTGTCAGGCTCCACAAACCCTCATTGCTCCGTGTGGCCCCCGCCCCCGCCTCCACCCCGTCCTCCTCAGACAAAAGTCACACTTTGAGGCCAGCCCCCGGACACGTAGATGTTTATTGAGTACAATCTGACTTGCATTGAGTACAGCTTGGAGCGGAGGTCAGGACAGGACAGCTCACCACCCATCTGTCCGTCAGTCTGTCCCACGGTGGTGGCTGGGATGCTGGGAGCAGTGTCACCGATATTTCAGATGCCGGCAGTGCCCCACGATGGGCCAGTTTCCGTGGAGCTTCCAGACTGAGAGAGACCAGGAAGCCTGGAAGTGTGCCTCCGACAGCAGGGGTCACGGGGAGCCCCCTGAGGACCTGGGGGACCTGTCTGAACAGCGCCTGGCGAGGAGTCACATTCACTGCCATGGAGCGGATTCTGACTCCCAGCGTCCGGTGGGCCTGGGCAGGGCAGAGTAGAAGGGGCCCCTGGGCCCACCGCCAGCCTGGAGGTCCGCCTCCTCCAGTGGAGTCAACCTCAGTGGCAGGGGTGGGGCAAAGCATCCGGGACCTTTCTTTGCCAAGGGGGCCTGACGCCCAATGAGGAGACTTGGCTGCAAACGCCCACGTTGTGAGGGTGTGGGGGCAGGCAGCATCAACAATATCACCGTGATGGTGATGCGGACACAGCGCGCTGGGCCCTCGGGCATGGGGATACCACAGGACACACATGCACAGAGGGGACATCCCCGGGGACAGTGTCGCCGTGAGCGAGGGGAGGGCCCTGCCTGCCTGGGTTCAGATGGCCTGGTCTTGCCCCCGCCTCTGGCCGAGCTCGCGGGCCGCAGCCAGGAAGACGGCCCCGGTGAGCAGCTCGGCGAGGAAGCTGAGGCAGCCCAGGGCCAGCGACCAGCCGAAGCGGACGTCCAGCTGCTGCAGCAGCGCCTTCTCCTCCACGAGCCACAGCGCCGCCCTGAAGGCCACCGCTGAGTAGGCGACGTACACGCTGATCCCGGCCAGGGTCACCGCCGCTGCAGAGGCGGCAGGGGCCCGGTCAGACCCACTGCCCACTGTGCCTGCCCTGCCCAGCCGCCACAGGGGAGCCAGGCCAGACTCACAAGCCCCACTCGGCCCCTGGGCCCGCCACCCGCCGGTCACCACAGGGCCGTAGCCAGCACCATCCCTCCTGCCAGCCTCCCTGGTCAAGACCTCAGAGAGTCTCGCCTGTACAGGCGAGAACTGCCTGTACGATTCTGAGGCTGGAACTGCTGACGGGAGTAAAAAGCCTCATCTTTCTCCCAGGAGGTGACTGGCGGTTTCAAACTGTTGACTTTGTGGTTAGTGGGCCAATGTGTAACCACTATGCCACCAGGGCTCCCGGGGAGACCCCTGCAACCACTGTAATCTCCTGAGTAACCCCAGACTGTGAGTCCCGGAACACCCCACTGAGCGCCCGGCAGGGCTCAGAGCAGCTCAGTCAGCACAGTGGCCACTGTTCACAGGTACTCGGTCACTGTCAAGCCTGAAGGGCTGACCGCTCGGTCTCCTTTGGCACTTTCCACAGGCCATGGGCTCAGAAGCCAGGCAGGGTCTGTGGCTCCAACAGACAGCACCGAGCTGAACAGCCCACATCAGGGTTCGTCGTTCCCGGGGGAGCATGGAGTTAGAGAAGGACCTCACTGGACAAACCACCCTGGCGGCTGTGGATGGCGGTCACCACAGGGGCAGGAGGAGCCCAGGCCGTCACCCTACTGCCACCTCCAGAGGGGCTTTTATTCTGCCCTGTGGATCAAAATCTTGCATCTGTGTGTAAATGCACGTGCATGTGTGTGCATGTGCATCTGTGTGTACTGAGTGTTGTGTGCATGAGTGTGCGTCGTGTTACATGTGTGTGCTATTGTGCATGTGCGTCTGTGTGTGCGTGTATGTGCATCGTGAGCTACACGTTCATGTGCGCTGTGCATACGTTTGTGTGTGGGTGTGTGCATGTGCGTGCGTGCGCGCGTGTGCGCGTGTGCACGCGTGCGTGTGTGTGTGTGTGTGTGTGTGTGTGTGTGTGTGTGTGTGTGTGTGTGTGTGAGTGTGTGGGCATCCTTCTCTTCCTTTGTATTCTATTTTTTACCCAGAAGCCATTTCACACTGGCAGCAGGATGGCGTGCCTGCACAGCTCACAGCCACAGCCTGGGGCTGGGCTTCAAAAGCTCAGCTCCGCCAATGCAGTAGTGACACCCCCGCCAACCCCCCCCCCCATGGGTGCCTCTGTCTTCACAGGTCTCAGTCACACCCACACACTGGATGAGAAAGGGGTCAGCTGGCTGCAATGAAGCTCACCCGCCAACCCTGGGTGCTAACACTGGCAGCCAACACCCAGCTTTCTGTGGGAAATACCGAGAACCGGTTCTCAGGGACTGGCCCACCCCACCCCCCGCCCCAAGGCTTCTCGCTGGGAACCCGTGGCCAAGCCAGGGCCCTGCGTCCAAAGCCATGCTCCCTTCCTGGGGCGGGACATCACCTAGGGGGCACCGAGTCCTGGAGCACCTACCTCCAAACAGGAAGAGGGCCCCGGCGAGCAGGAACAGGAGGTGGGCTCGGACGAGGAAGCTCAGAAAGCCCGTCATGGCCCCAAAGACCATGAGGATGAGGCTGAGCGGCAGCAAGATGGCAAAGGTCCCGTGCATGGCTGCAGGGAGGCAGAGCGCAGGGCAGGCAGGGCCTCACAGCCGCCCACAGGCCCCTGGGGACCCTGGGGACCGGGCACACTGCCACAAACCATGGCGGCCGCCCCTGCAGTCAGAAAGGGAGCCCCCAGGTGCCCAGCTGCTAACGAAAAAGGGGGAGGTTCAAGTTCCCCCGGAAGGGTCTCAGAAGAAAGGCCTGGCAACCTACGCCCCCAAGCCGAGCCCCTGGAAACTGTAGAGCACAGCGCTGCCCTGACAGGAACAGGCAGCAGTGCCATTGTTCTGATCATGGTGATGGTGGTGGTGATGATGGTGCAGGTGGTGGTGGTGGTGATAGTGGTGATGATGCTATCGAGGGTCCAAAGCCAAGCCCGGTGTCACAGCAGCGATTCTGATGCCAAGGGTCCTGCAGGACAGAGTAGACCTGCCCCACAGCCTGCACACTTCCATGGAAGCAGGCTGCCTCGTCTTTCTCCCACAGGGAGGCAAGTGGGTTTGAACCACCGGCCTTTGATCACAGCTGAGTGTGTAACCCCTGCACCACCAGGGCTCCCTCACAGAGATTCCCTGTGAGCTTTTAAGTCACGTGCCCCCATAGCCCTACATGGGCTGTTACCACTGTTGGCTTGTTCCCTTGGCAAGGGTCATTGGTCAGCACGGTCCCCTATACTGTTCCAGGCTGGGCCCCCTGAGGAGAAGCCACACCCCTGTCAGTGGAGCTGTCGTTACATGGAGCAGAGGCAGGCCGTGAACCCAGGGACAGATTCAAGGGCAGAGCCACGCAGGGCAGGCTGGGAAGGGCTGAGAGCCCATTTCCAACAGCTCCAGGGAGAAGTGGCATTTGAGCAGGGACTGGAGGGAGGTGGGGGACTGAGTACATTACTGGGGGGCTGGGTCCCCAGGAGGTGTTGAGGCAGAGTTCACTGGGGTCAGGCACCCCTGTCCTCCCTCAGGGGGGCGTCCTGGGCCGGCTGAGGTCAGGAGTCACAGGCCAGCTTGGTCAGCTACCCAGATGGTAGAAGGACTCAGTGGGCTGCATCCCACCCCTGCCGCTGGGGTGATTCCAACTGCTGTTGATGCTCTAGGACAGGGTGGACCTGCCCCACGGGGTTTTCCAGGCTGTCAGTCTCCATGGAAGCAGACCAGCTGCCAAATGTGGGGTGGGCGAGGAGAGGGAGAACAAGGGCAGGCAGGAAGGAGAGAGGGAGCAGGTGGGGTTCCCCTCTGGCCCTGGCCCTGAGCTTGCTGGCAACCAAAGTAGAGAAGGACAAGAGTCTTTCTCACCGGCCACTACGGTACCCACTGAGGGCTCTCAGACAGGTGCTGGGCCCTTTAGAACCCACCAGGCACCAAAACCAAGAAGCCACTCACTGCCATCGAGGCAGCGACGACTCCTGCTGCCCCGAGGACCGGTCAGACCCGCCCCTGTGAGTTTCCGAGGCTGTAACTCTTTAGGGGAGCAGGAAGCCCCCTCCTTCTCCAGAGGAGCAGTTGGTGTTTTAAACTGCCGACCTTGGATGTGCGCAGTCCGATGTGTGACCACTCTGCCACCAGGGCTCGCTCCTTTGGCAACAAGATGGGTCTAAAGGGGAATGCTTTCTTCTCATCCCCCGGGGCAGAGAGGCACCTCGTTATAGACAGACTCTGTCGGCAGACTATGGGCCATACGAAATGAGGACCCACCGACCCTACGTCTATGGGGATGACGATGAAGGAGGCGGTGACCATCACTGTCCTGGATTGTGTCCCCCAAACTGCCAGTTGAAACCCCCAACCTCCATACCCGTGGGCTCAAACCTAAGCACCACCGTGGGGATGGCGCGGACCGGGCAGGGTTGCCTTCTATGTACGTGGGGTCGCTGTGGGTCGGGCGGACTCGATGGCTACCTAACCACAGCAGGGCGTGGTTCCAACCCCACTGGGGGCGCTGTGCTTGCTGGGTGACTGAGGCAGGCAGGGTGGCTGGTGGCGGTGGTCTAGGTGCTCGCTCTCGTCTGAGCTGGAAAAGAGACGAAGAAGGAGAAGGAGCAGACTGGGGAAGAAGGACGGCTCCCCGCAGGAAGACGGCGCAGGTGCAGGAGCTCTCAGGAGACCAGGACCCTCCCCCGCCTGGGCCAAGGCACAGAGAGCACCTTCCCCTAGAGCGGGACCCTGGATGCAGCCGGTGGCATGTTGGGCTGCCGTCCACAAGGTCAATAGTTCAAAACCACCAGCTCTTCCGTGGGAGAAAGACTGAGTTTTCTACTCCTCTCCGACAAGGCGCTCAGAAACCCACCCTGTCCTGTCGGGTCGCTATGAGTCAAAACCAGCTGGAAAACTACAGCCAGGGCACCCCTTAGAGGCAAGGATGGGGAGACTTTCTCTCATGGGCTGTGGACATGTCGTCAGGAGTGACCAGGCCCTGGAGAAGGACGTCATGCTTGGTAGGGTAGAGGGGCAGCAGCAAAGAGGAAGGCCCTCGACCAGATGGATGGACGCAGGGGCTGTGATCCCGGGCTCTGGCACAGGAGCGATGGTGAGCACGGTGCAGGACTGGGCAGTGTTGCCCTCCGATGTGCACAGGGTCCCTACGGGTCAGAACCCGCTCACAGTGCCTAGCAATAGCCACACCCAACAATAGCCACACCCAGAGCCACGGGCACGTGCCTGGGTCACCCCTGGAGATGTGCATCCATTGTATGCCAAATAACTCCCCACACAAGGGCTGCCTGGCTCGGGCTCCCTCTCGACGACCTGCTGAGGGCTTTCGACTGGCCAGTCTTCACCTTGGTGGGTTGAACTATGGGAGTGGGCCCTCCATAGGACAGCATGCATGGACAGACAGGCCTAGGAACCAGGGCTGGTCTCTCGGCAGGTCCGAGTCACTGCGGCTGCCTGCAAGGGCTGTGCTTGTAAGGAGACCTGGGGGCACAACAGGGGAACACTCTGCTGCTGACCAAAAGGCTGACTGTTTGAACCCACCCAGCTGTGCTGAGAAAGAAAGGCCCGGTGACCGGTTCCTGGGAGGCTGGCAGCCTTGGAAACCCCACAGGGCCGCCCAACGGTCACACGGGGTCCCTGTGAGTCAGGCCTGACTCCACCATCGGTCACGATGACAGTGGTGGAGCTTATAAGCCATTTTATGACCCAGGGTCGCTGTGACAACCACACTCCAGCCTGGTTCCCACGCAGCACGGAGCTCTGCGGAGCGGCTATGGGGGTGAGGAGGCAGCAGCCCAGCCCCTGACCTCCTGGAGCTAGCCTGGCACTGACCACTGGTGGCGCTGTTCTCCTGCCTTGAACTAGCCATCTCCCAGAACTCCATCCACAGGGAGGTCACCTGAGACCAAGTCAGGCCCCGCCCAGTGGGGGTGGAGGCCCAGAGCCTGTCACTGGGCCTGCTGCTGCTGTGGCCTCCCGCCAGACTGGCCTGAGTGGGCGCCCCCGTCCTACACTTGCCCCCCTTGGATTCCACCCCCCACCAGCCCTTAGATCCCTTCAGTCAAGCACTAGAAGCTGACCAGGGCCCCGTCTCAGGACAGCTGCTTTCTAACTAACCCCGCCCCCACTGAGCCAGCCCCCAGGTCCCTGAAACAGTCAACCCAGCGAGCCCTGGCCCACTCCAGCGTGTTTCAGGGGGGCTCTGCCTGTGAGCCTTAGTCACAGGCGATGGGTTGGCCTTTGGGGGATGCAAGGGGGAAAGGAAGCCAGATGGGGGGGGGTGGGGGGCAATAAAAGCCAAGAGGACGAGGAAATGCCGTTGTCTTCGCCTGCGCAGGCACGGGCTCACAGCCTGGCACGCAGGACGCAGGATGCGCTCGCTCTGCGCTTCAAGGAAGACACTGGCCGAGCTAGCGAGTGGGGGCATGAACGGACGGCGCGTTCCCGGAACCCCTCACGTGGGCAGGATGTCGGGCTGCAGGTACAAAGTCGAGTCCGACGGGACTCCCATCTCCGTGGAACTTCAAGCTTGGAAGGGCAGAGGCACAATGTCCCTCCGAGACTGCAGGGAGAGGTCTTCAGGAAAGCAGAGTCAGTGGTGAGGGAGCTGGAAGGGGGTGGGGGCAGATGAGATAAGGACCCATCACATCACGTGAGAGAGAGGCTTTCGGGAGGCGGAGAGTCGTGGAAGAGCTAGAGGAGGATCAGGCGTCAGCCTGGGGTCCACTCTGGCCTCTGAGCCTGTCTCCTCCTCTGAGCAGTGGAGTCAGCCCCACCTGGGGAGTCCCACAACAGTCTGTGGGAAGCAGTTCAGATCCACGTCTCTGGGTCCTTCGCTCATCTCGGCTCTGGGCGGGAGAGACCACGCTGCACCCATTTCACCTCTTCTTACAAGGACTTTCTCACCAAGATTTCCAGCCCACCCAGTCATCCGAGATGACCTGATCTCAAGACTCTTAACTTAATTCCCTCCCTAGGGACCCTTTTTCAAGCTAAAGGAAGGTTCTCGGGGACCAGGGAATCAGGACTCGGACATATCTTTTGGGGAAGGTGGGGCATCAAACGACCCATTAGGATGGTACATTCTTAAAAACTCATGGCCATCAGTCAACACAGACTCACAGCAACATCCTGTGGATGTCTGAGACTGTAACGGTGCACGGAGGAGAAAGTCCAGTCTGTCTCCCCTGGAGCTGCTGGTGGTTTCGAACTGCCGACCATGAAGATCGCACACAGCCAAGACGCCACCAGGACTCCAGAATGGCACACGGTCAGGCTCAAAAAACAATAGCTATGAGTATGAGATAGAATTCAAGACAAGAACGCTGGCAGGCATCATCTCACCAAAGGAGACGTGCGGGCCTGTGCGGAGAGCGCTTTTGAAGTCAAGCACACCGGCTGCGCTTCAGGAAGAAGATGAGCACTGTGGGGAGCCGCGTGTTGGGGCCAGGAGAGTCGTGTTCCAGTGTGCAAGCTCGGTCCATTAGTGCGCTGTTCAAAGAGCGCACACCGGGAGCCGGCATCCCCCAGGCCTGCGAGGTCACCAAGGACGAGCAGCGGCTTTGAAGGAGAGTGGGGAAAG